AAAAGGAAACCAAGGTTTAAAGAATGCAGAATTGACGTGGAAGAATTCCAAAAGCTTTAAAAATTCAAAACTCAATAAAGTTGATATCATTTAACCCAAAAACCTTTTGAGTTTCATACACCTCAAGGATCTCAACGAAAATAAATTCATTCACAAGCATAATAAGAAAATTTTAACTTCCAATAAGGTATAAAAAAAGATCATGGTACACCAAAATTATTTCTCAATAACCAAAAACTTACCACAAAAACATAGTATCCCAGTATCTTTGGGCCCTGATGGTGTATTCTGAACAGTGGCAGACATTCCTCAATTCATACTTCTGAACTACATTGTAAAGAATAGAGTTTTAAAAATCCATTAGAATGTTGAATCATTAAGCAACACGAGAAGGAAGAAAATTACCACACCTCATAAAAAAGTGGTGCTGTGTTATTATAAGCTAAAGAACGCTACAAATTTCTAAAAGTCATAGAGACCTACATCTTATGAGATCCCCCCGCTGCCACAGGGGGGCTAGAGAGAGGAGGGTTGGGGGAGAAGGGCGGCTGGGCCTTGTCTGGCTAACCAATCTAAAGAATCTTGGCCCTGCAGCACCCCTCGATGGAGTATGTGGAATAGCTTAGGTATTCTAATTCATGAATTGAACATCAAAATTGCACATTAAAAACCAAGCAGAATGGGGTTTTTGCTTGGAAGAAGGGGGAGGTGGGAAGGAGCTTGTTCAAATAAAGCAGTTTTTTGTATGATGAATCATGATCATTGCAGAATCAACAATTTATGCGAGATTTATTTTAGCATATCAATGAACAGGTTATTATCTAGTGTGGTCCCCACTAACCAAGGTGTTGAAAGGGGGGATTGAGCACGAAACTAACTGTTCACATTATTTGCACAGAGCAGCAACCCTCAACTTGCAACCTTACAGTTGATAACCCAATAGTTTTATGACTGCACCATTAAATAGTTTATTGTTCAAACAATACTAATCACCCAATACATTGTCTGACACATGCACACATGGTATAGATATAGTAGCTGCATACCCACATGCAGGTCTGTACATAGGCACACAGATATTGTCTATTATAGACAACAGATAATGAATGAGAAATGAGTAAAATGCCACAATGAAAATAACATAAACATTAGTGATAGTTACTTTGGGCTGCAATCTGCGGCATTTTTTGTATTAAATAATGAAATTAAAGCCACATGAAACCATTAGTAATGGTAAAAAAGAAAAAGAAAAAGAAAAGCATTAAATCCTTGGACATCAAATGACCAAAATATTCAAAGAAATCAGAACTCCAATAGAGCAAATGCACACAAGCCAAAATGTTGGAGAAGATGCACATTTTGACCAGAATTAGTATATCAGCCTCCAAAATAACAGGACATAGAAAGACACCATGAAGATCCTAAAGGCATTGTGTCTACTAATTTTCAAAGGTCTTGACCAACTTCAGACAAGTGGGATGCTTTAGACTGCTTCCAGGATTACCCCAACAACCAATTGAATGAGAACACTACGTTGGATTCAGTACCAAACTCTTTCCTCTCTCTTCCAAGAAACGATATTTTGCAGTTAGGACCAACAATCACTAGCAAACTCATTATACATTGGAAATTAGACATGAGAACTGATGGTTATCAACAGAGGTGCCATTCAAGAAGAAGCAACAAGAATACCAAGGTGTATGAATTTGGAGGTTAATAGGCAAGAGAAAGTGTTTCAGATAAGTTTCTACAAATCCATACTCCAACCACAGCGGATATTCAGTAAGACACAAAAGGGAAACAAATAAATACTTCCTCTATCCTGACTTTCCAGGTCATTGTAAATCAATGTTTCTCCTATCGAGGGACAACATTCAATGCATTCACACTCAGTAGGGAAGTATAAATTTCCGAAACTAGCATTTCAAACTACAGAGAATCAATTATTAGGAAAGTTATAAATGCATCCCGATACTTTTCATTCTATAAATACTTGTCATTGTGAATCAATGTTTCTCCTATCGAGGGACGACATTCAATGCATTCACACTTAGTAGGGAATTATAAATTTCCAAAACTAGCAGTTCAAACTTCAGAGAGTCGATTATTAGGAAAGCTATAAATGCATTTGGATTCTTTTCATTTTATAAACACTTCAAATCAAAACTTGCGGAAAAAAAAAAAAAAAAAACTATCCATCCGAAAGGTAATGCAGGAAAGTTATTAAATCCTGCCCATGGACTTTTCAAAGCAGACAAACTTATGGGAAGTCCAGAAAAGAAAAGATAGCCCATTAAATTGTTACCAACAGAGAGTGGGAGGGTGAAAACTAATAACCTGAACCAAAAAGAGCTTTGGAAAACTGCCGTCAGTCCTCAAAGACTAATAAGATATTTGGTTTTCTGAAAATTGAGTTGGAAATTACACATTTGGTAGTAAGCTTGGAAGCTGGAAGTTATATTGTTCGACCTACCATGGTCGGCAAAATTAGTCACCAGATTTTATGGAAACTCACGACCCTTAAAACCTAGGGCCATTGCCTAGTGTAAAAGTAAAAGTATCGGGTTGACAAAAGTAAGGTTCTCAGTTCAAATCTACGCCCAGAGGGATCATATGAACTAACATTGCTAGTAAGTCCGGATGATACTATGCCATCTTCAGATGGCCATTGTGAGGTTCATTTCCTCTCTCATTTTAAAATTTTCAGTTCTTTTCATAGGACCCTGCTAAGACTGGCTCCCTCTATCATTACCCATAAGTTTGAAGGCCCTGCCAGCCTGTTAACGAGATGATTGAAAGCCTTAAACTCCTTAGTATTCTTGGATTGTAATATTTATTGCTCTTTGTTAGTTCCTTAATTTAGGTATTGAGAAATACTTCAAAATAAGGAACTACGTACACATTTTCCCTCTTTCAGGCTTCTTAGATGGTGACTTTCTGACATGGTACATAAACGAGTTGCCATATATTCATCTGTTCTTTTCATGAATAATTAGATTTCTATAAATCCATCCAAGAAAGAGAAGTTGGTCATAGAGAAGGCAGTGTGCATAGAAGCCAGCAAGCTATTTTGGTATTAGGATTTGGTAAAGGTATCAGAAACTATAGAACTATCAAATATTTAATGATTTATGTTTTGTGTAGATTTATCAAGATGACTACAGAGCATATTGGATATGATAGGAAAGAGTCAAGGTAGTGTCAGTTATAGGGTTATGCATGTAAGATCTCTTAAGGTGAGTTTGATTCTAATTAAAAGTCCCTAAGAGCCCCACTTTCTCGAAGAACTAAGCCAATGTTTCAAGCTTTTTTACGAGTAAGAGAACACCCAAAATTATATAACTTCCAGCTGTGAATGTGCAGTTTGTCTTTGTCCACTAGCCAATCAAGTTATACCTTTCTAAGTGTGCCATCCTATTCCTCAACATGAATACTAAGAAGTCATAAATTTCAGCACTATTGACAAACTAAAACAATATTCTCTTTTTGTAACCCCTAGCAAACATTAACTATGTTCTGATATTGCTTCACTGAAAGAATGTGCAATTTTTCATTATAACTGTGCTTTATCTTCTGACAGTAATATAAATCCTATGATCAAGCACTCAACTGTGCACTAATCTATATATTTCTATAAATTTCTGATTTTGTCCTCTGCCAACAGATTTTTTCATGAGACATTAACAAAGCATCCAGTCAATGTTCATTAAATATAAAGAGCAAGGGGGAAAAACCACAAATGAAAGTACAAATAGAATAATAGGACTACCTGCTATTTTTCTCTTATTGCCAAATCCACTTTTTGTTCTCTTTCTAAAACTTTTTGGAATAAGACACAAACCAAAGGTCCAGTTAAACTTACTGGAGCAACTGGTTCCACTTTCAATTTCCTTTTTACAGAGGCAAGAACTAGCTGAGAATAAATAAGCAACTTCAGGAACCAGAAGCATGAAATGTCCAAAATCCAACATATCGACAACCACATGTGACTGTCAAGATAGCCAGATCAGTGTCGATTCTATTTTCTATTAAGTCAACCATCTTCAACAATGCAAAGCACATTATTAAAACATCTCATCATTTCCTACTGGGAAAAAGAAACAGGGAAAACCAAGAGTGGACAAATCTAAATTTTGTCAATAATGCCACACTCCCTATAAATTGCTCACACTAAACTTTCAGCATATTGATGATGATCCAGGGAAGCAGAGCAAAATAATGTGATGTGAGAAGCACTAGCATATAAAATGGTTAACCTGGCGATAAATAAACGGGATATGAGCTAACTTGTCTATATTTAGACTTGTAAGTATACACATTGAAATTACACTAAAATTAACAACAATTTTAACCTTGTGAGCATGTAAAAAAAACTTAGTTATCATAACATACAGAAGGAAAAACAAGTATGATAGAAGAACATTATACGACCACTACATAAGACAACATAAGAAACAATAAACAATCAAAATCTTGTAACAGTTTCATTTCTCGATAAAAATATAGCACATGAAACTCTGTACCTAAGCATGAAATATTTGATCAACAAAAAAAGCATGATAATCACGTCTTTAAATCATAAGATTGGCAAGTGTCAAGGCCAAATGCAAGATTACCAACAAACAATATTAAACATGTCCATGTTGAGCCTTGATAGCACCAGTCAGGCTACTCCAAGCCAAGGCCTCACAGCTGCCTGACGTACAGAACTACTTCAGAAGTTTGAAAAAGTGACACAGAAGAAACCCTAGTCAACTAGGGAGAAAAAGCATGTCAGCAGGTGTGAACAAGGAACAAGCAAATAAATCACAACCCCCCACCCACAAAAAAAAAAAAAACCATCAAAAAAAAGGGCACCACATAAAAGCCATCGATTAACCAAATCCCAGATGCTGCATTGCTGCCAAGGCAACAATTTCTGACCTAAAAAATAATCCTACTTAGTGCAGCAATTATTCTCATCTAAATCAAGTAAATAACTAAACATACGGGATATAAGCCTGAAATCAAACCTTTATCTTTCCAATTTAAGTGAATCGTCCTAGTATAGCTCTTTAAATTCAGTGAGCATCTCTATGACAATAAATAATTCACAAATGTCACTAGACTATGTTATTGGCACCCTCATTACATCAGTCAGTAAAGGCTGCAATTCTAATCCACCTCTTTCCTCTCCGTTCCAGTAATTCACCTGAAGCAAGAATTGCTAGTCATGGCAACTCTGATGAGTCAACTCAAGTTTTATGCACTGCTGATCCCAGGATGGCTGCTGTTTTCACCAAACCATTCTCCACTTGGGTATCCCCTAAAGATGCCTATTCTGTATGTATTAGACTTGGACAATGGTGATATTGTTTTTGTGATAGTCATCCCATTTACAACGTTTCTGCAACCCAGTTTGATGTATTATCATCCAACAAAGTATTCTCCTTGGACTCCATCAATGTGTCATGTGGTCTCCAATCCTTCTCATTTGAATTAGGAACTGCTGCTAACTTCAGAGGTACCTGCCCGTTTGCCACATCCAATTCAAGTGCCTGGTCAGTAATAGCCTCAGATTGCTGCTCCCTGTGACTAGACGCATCAGTCAAAAACAAATCTTTTGATTCCTTCTGTCTAAAGATCAAATCATTTGCAAGTGTGGCAACATTAGATACTTTTTCATAAAATTCAGTCCCTGATTCATTTTCCAACCCACCCAATTGTACCTCATCACTTCTCCTAACATGCAAATGAGGACAAATAGGAGAATTCCTATTGCGGCACTTGTGGCACTTAAATCCAATAAGGTTACTAATATTTTCAGCTCCAAGCCCGAAAGCATCTCCATGAAACCAGTCTGCATGGAGTATTGAGACAACACACTACTATTAAAAGGATAAATAACAAAAAATACCAATCCAAAAGATACATAAAGAAACTTTGTAGTTGGATGTGGAAACACCAAAAAAAAAATATCTTATTAAGCATCCTTAAGACAATAAATCATCAAATAGAAATGGATGTAATCAGAACAGAAACTTACCTCCACAGATATCACAACTGATATAATTCAATGTAGATGTGAATTCTGGTTCACAACAAACACTGCATTTAGGTTGATCATGAATACTATCCAATTGTTCCGAAGGGATGATGAGTTTTTTAACCCTAAAATGCATCACCCGCTCATCATAAGGCTTTCTAGACAATAAGAGACCATTCAACCAGTACGTATGATAGGCCTCTGTTCTCTTCTTCTGCCACAAACCTTTCGTTGGTTTTCTTGACATCCCCTTTTTGGATTTGGGTTTTCTACTTTTCTTGCGTCTTCCAATCTTTTTGGTTGGCAGTGACACGCATTTAAGGTTCCTAGCAGAACGTCGCAGTGGTACAACCACAGTCTCTTTTCTCCTATTCTGCATTTCAGCTGGTTGTTTCACTTTGCCCGACTTCTTGCTGATTTTGGAGGCTTTCTTACTCTTTTGCAGTCCTGATTTGCCCGTCTTCATGTCATTCTTGATACACTTCCCATCCTGACATTTGTGGCATGTATATGTACATCCCACAGTGATAGCCCCAGCAGATTTCCTCACATGTCTTTTGTGGAAAAATCCTGCAAATTGTTACAACCTCCAGATATCAAGCTCAGTCAGGAAAAGTCTCTTAAAGGGGGACAAAAATTCACAACCTGTGTCCTATTTAGACAGTTGGGAAAATAGTGAAACTAGCTTAACTCGTACGGAAAAATCAATATGAATAAAGCGTATTAATATTGGGAAAAAGATAACGGCTAACAAAATTCTTGAAGCCAAAGCCTACAAGCCAAGTAACTTTCCAGTTTGACACCAAAACAATAAGAAGTTAATGGAAAAATAAAGAATAACGAAATAAACTACACTGAGTAGTGCCTTCGGATCTAAGATGAAATTCAAAGCATAGACTAAGGCCAAATTATTGTTTTAATAGACTTTGCTGGATGGTCTTGACCCTTACGAAGGTCTAAGATGATAAACTTACAATCAGACACAATAAGCACATCCAGGTGGCAAACGCTAAAGCAACAAACAAGAACCAGGCATTAGAAAACTAAACACACAATCACAGGGAAACTGGTATAAATGACATCAATAAGTTATTAGAAAATAAATTATGTTGTCAGTTTTCCATATATATCGTATATATCGGAAACATGAACATCATCCTCCATGACTAGCAAATCAAAAAATAGAGATGACTAGTCAAGAAACAATTTACAATGATGGATAATTCAGGGTTGAGGCAATTTGAAGATGAATATTTCTAGGCTATTTTTAAAGGATCAAAGTTAAAAAGCATATTCTAAGAAGAAGATCGAATTAAGTGAATTTTGCAGGGGGGAAATCATTCAGTCCTTCATATATGGTCATTAGAAATTCAAAACATATAAGATGATTTGGAGAACAGCTTGAGGAGTAAAAACTGTCAACAATTCCTTAAACAACTGCTTTCAGTAAAAAACTGACAAGAAGATACTGCTCCATGTCCTCTCAGACTCATGCGCTCTCGCATATTCACACTCTAACTTGCTTTGACTTAATAATTGCAAACTTGCATTGACACATCTCATAAGAACAATAGACAATAAACGCACACGTACACACTGATGTGCAAAATGACACCACCCAAAATCTTTTTGTTTAAAGGTAGACTCGCAAGTTAGTGAATGGGTTTGAATGCGTCATATGCTGGCCTTCAACCCAAATGAGTTGGGGGATTATTTTCGTTATTGTAAAAATTTTTTAGGGACTTTAAAATGCTGAAAATAATTCTAAAAGCTGTCGTTTTGGAACGAAGCCTCTAAGGTTTTAGGTTTCAGCGCGCTTGCATGAGCCTTTGGGCCATTCCCTTTCCTCTCTCATTTTTAGGAATAGCCCAAAGGCTCATGCAAGCAGGCTGAAACCTAAAACCTTTGAGGCTTCTTTCCAAAACGATAGCTTTTAGGCTTTATTTTTGGCTTCCCTAAAATCGAGAATTTTTAAGTTGGTAAAGACCCACCCATTGTTTTAGTCAGAATGAGTCCTCAAGACACGGGACATTTTTTTGTCTTCTTCTACCTTTACGCTTACGTCAATAGCAATCATATCACTCCTTCTCACCGGTGCCGTAATAAGCCGTCTATAGATATGTCCAAACCAACTAAGCCGATTCTTCCTTAATTTATCTTCTATATGTGCTATCTCCAATTTTTCACAAATATATTCGTTCATAATTCTATCTTTCCTAATTTTACTAGACATCCATGATCCAGCTTAACATTCTCATTTCCACGTAGTAGAAAAAGTATCACAAGTCAGAAAAAATAGGGATAACTATAAATGAATGACTTTAAGAATAAAAAAATGATGAACAATGAAAACCATAAAAACTAAAGATCAAGAGAGTACATATCAGGCCACTAAGAAAAATAAATAAATAACCTAAAATCTCTTCAACTGAAGTTGCAAAAAGTTCTGTTTGTCCTGCTGCTTCTGAGAACATCATACAGAAGTCTCATTCATGAAATCAACATCTACAATTTAAAATCTTGACATTCCTTCCGTGGACAAGGGGAATCATGCAAATGAATTGTACAGGAATTTTCCTTTATGAAGAAGAGGTATCAAAAGTAACAGTTAATTACATTATTCACCTTTAAAGCTTACACAGATTCTCACTTTGGTACTTATTGTTTTTCTCAATTTGTCCTCCATCACTCAACACATTCCAATTCAATTGTATCAATGGCTTCAATCAAGAAACTTCACGAGTGCCATCATGGAAGAAAGATGTGTGCATTATATGATGCTCACATGCTTTTTTCATGAATAACCTAATTCATATGTTTTTCTAGGCCCCAGAACTTGGATTGTCCAGATTGTTAAACACACTAGTTAGTCCAGATGTTGAATTGGACGACCACAAAAAGTTTGGAACCTAGTTTTATATGCAAAAAGAAAACATTTCTGACAAGTTTCTTACAGGTTGAAAGGAACAACGTAACAGATTGGTCAACACTTGCCATCCTACCATTATCCACATAGAGCCTACTTACTATGGTCATGATTATTCTCAACACCAAAGAAAAGCAAATAAGAAACTAATGAAAGTCAAATTTAAACTCCAAAATTTACCTTTGCAAAATTCGCAGCTCACAGCTTCCCTGCAAATGATGGTAAAAATTCAATCAATAGCATGCTATATCCGATTGAATTCACAACTGTTAGCAACATGATTATTCAATTAATAACATAAACTTAGCCCTCGACAAAAAGAATGACTTAATAATATTTTTTCTTGGTGATAAGTAAACTTATGGACAAAAAATTTATTTAGATAGGGAAAAAGGAAAGCTCATGCATATGAAGGCAAAAAACAGGGCTCATAATTCTGATATCAAAAAGATTTATAGAGCATACTATAAATAATGGTGTGTTTGGTAGGAAGGTTGGAAAGTATGAATGATACACTTTCGATTATTGATGGGAGGAATCCTTTGTTTTCTCGTTTGCGTTTGATAGGGACGATGAAAAGTGTGAAGGATTGATTTTTTTTGTATTTGGTATGGATGAAAAAGTAGAAGGATGAAAGAAGTATACCTGCATATTTTATCATTGTATATATGAATGAAATTAACATGTACATAATATGTAATTGATAAATAAGATATATATGCAAATATTAAGAACATAACAATAAATTTCATCACTGAAGATTTGGAAGGTGAAGGTGCTTCTCATGTAAAGATAATTACTAATGAGATTCTTCAAAAGAGAAGTAATTATTGCCTTCAAATGGTGTGTTATATGTAGGGCTGATATTGAGAATATGGATCACTAGTCCTTTGGCACGAGCATTATAGAATAAGTTTTTTGATCTTGTGGGACTGTCTCCAATTGCTCCTATTGAAGTATAAATACTTAAGTTACACCGTCTTCAATAACTTAAACTTTTGGAGCAAATGATTGTTTGACATGATATCAAAGCAAGAGGTAATATGTTCAAATCTCGTTGCTACCTTATTTATTAAAAGAGTTTTCACGTACTAGGCCCAAAATCTAGCAGCACATAAAGAGTTGGGAGATGATGACTGACTTTGTAGCTCATGGATGGTGATATGTTTAGTTTGGTGTCGAGTATAGCATCTCAAATTATCCCTATTTAATCTTCTACAAGTAGTCTACTCCCCCTGAATAGGTGTTTCTCCCAGAGGCTCCCCCTCACTAGATTGGGAGGTAAATACTCAAGTACTAGTTGGGAGGCAACAGAAAGAATCCATCCCCTAGCATCTCCCCTTTAATACATTGCTCCCTTGAAGAGATGGTAAAGGAGTAGAAAGATATGACTCTGTATCATGACACGTGACATCCATACTAACATACACCTTCCAGAACTGAAAATGATTACACTTATACATATTCTGGATAGCAGAATAACCAATAAAGACATACCGCAATGCCTTTGAATCCAACTTTCCCTTAGTCCTTTGATAAACATATACAACCAAACATCTTTAGGGGAATAAAGTAAAGATAAACTAACCTTGGGAGCAACTCTAAAAGAGTGGAAAAGTCGAGAACTCTCAAAAACATTCAATTGATGAGATATGCGGTACTAAGAACTGCATCTCCCTAAAAGGGCTTAGGAACATCCATAATAAACATTGTGCCATTTCAAGGAGATGTGGATTCTTCCTCTTTGCTATACCGTTCTACTCCGGTGTATCCACACAACTAAATTGGTGGAGGATTCTAGGTTTTATAAGATAAGCTCAAGACTTTCCATTAAAGTACTCAATCTCATTATCAGTACTAAGAATCTTATTTTAGTATCAAACTAAGTATTTACTAGTTTATAAAATTTTTTAAAATAAGTAGACACTTCGTCCTTGCTATACAACAAATAAACCTAATTAACCCAAATGTAGCAATCAATGAAGGTAACAAATCATCAATATCCAGCAAAAGAAATCACATGAGATGGTTCCTATACATCAGATTGAAAAGTCATAAATGGAACAGTGCTTCTATTATTATTACTATGATAAGAATTTTGTTGTATGCTTGGCAAATTCAGAAGCATCACAAAACAAGTTATCTTTATTACATTGTTGCAACAAAACCAGAAAAAATTTCTCTAATAGGATGTTTGGTATGGTGGGAAGTAGGGAGGGAAAATAGGGGAAGGAAAATTGGATGGAAAGAATATATTTCCTTTGTTTGGGTTGAGTAAAAAATTAGAGGAAAAGGACAATAAGAGGGAAAAGGTATCCTCTCTCCTAGCAACAAAAAATTATGTCTTAGTTCGGATGGAAAGAAAGAGACAATTTGGATTTGCTGTTAGCAACAACACACATAAAGACCTCAATTTTATATTATTTTTCTGGAGAAGTCTCATTTTGAACCCTGAAAGATTTAAACTTTCTCACTTTACACCTTCAAAGATAAAATTTCTCACATTGGACCCTCAATATATTAAAAGTGTTACAATATGACATTTCTGTTATCTTCTGTTATTTATTCCATCAAAACTCACCTCATTGACGTTGAAGAAATAAGTAACGAAAACTAATAGAAAAACCACATTACAACACATTTC